GTGAGCAAACGCATGCAAGCAGTCAACAAACAAAAAAATCCCTGCCTGGATTCAAATCTGCACCGTTTCTTAATTTGAGAAGTGGGTCAATTTTTCTTGACCAAAACATCTGGACAGATGACATCAAAGCAGAGAAGTTTGGTTGTGATGCATCAAGACGGTAATGATCCCAAACTCAGCATCAAAACTACTGCAGAATGACTGAAAAAGAAAATAAACAATGGTCTAGTCAAAGTCCAGACCTCAGCATGACTGAAATCATGTCGTGATGATTTCAGATTTTGATTTGCCGCCTAATTGCATTTCTTAATTTCATCATAATACGGTATGTTGACTTTATATTTGAAGAGGTAAAAATAAGAAGAAAATCCCAATAAAACAACTTTCTACTATTATATTGTAAAAAATAGTGGTAGGATCCTATTAACATTTTTTACGAACTGTAATTTATAATCAAAACCATATATTGAGAAATATTTTCAATTAAAAAAATGTTTGATATAAATTATGTAACAAATAGAGATATGAGCTGAGAGATCAGATCGTTTTTTGAAATGGGTTATCGATTGTACGTCAGATTTATATTAAAAATAACAAAAAAATGCACCTACCTGCACTAAACTGTTGAAACCTTTGTCATTAATTAACACTTTATTATTTTACTTTGTTGACTAGATGGATAGTTTGGACGCTGTTGCTTTAAACCAAAAAGTGAAAAAGTAGTTTAACTTACTCATTTGTGTGACTGTAAAGCACAAACACATAAACTGATCACTTTCTCATGTTTGGTCAGGAAATAGTTATTTTTTCAATCATATCAACAAGGTAAGTAGATAACTATTGATGTGGCTTTTTTTTGTGCATACATGCTGATTTATTCATTTAAGTATTTTATATATATCTATGTTTCTTCTGTTGTGGAAGAAAACTATTTTACTAAGCAGTGTCAGGTGTAATCACTCAGTCAGGTTTATTTGTATATTGTGCACAATACAGAGAGCTTGTAGGACAATTGATAAGGAAGCAGATCTGAGTGAAAAGCTCTGGCAGGCAGAGAAAACATGAGTTTTATACCAAGGATAAGGAATTAAAAACACAGTCTGGTTCTGATGCATCTGCAGAAAACAACGTCCAACGTTGCACATGCAACCCAACTAGTTCTTTTGGTGATAGTTCATATAACGTGATCATAGTGATTTTCCGCCACACCTCCATGTTTCTCACAGCAGCTCTAGGTTTTCTCCATCTGTCTGAAGCGTTTTGCTAATTGGTTTTCCTCCATGTTTCAGTAAGACGGGGGTTAAAAGGCACAGCTCACTGCAGGACTGTCATTAGTATTAATAGCTTTAAGAAGTCCATCCGACTTTTTCCTCGAGCTCATCCACACTCGGCTTCCTGTCGCTCATCATAACAGTCATCTGCGGGGGTTGTTTCATCCTTTCTCTCTGTGTGACAGTATGAATCGGCATGACATGAAAGAAAGTTTTTCTTTCTCCTGATTTTTTTCCTCTGCTGACACAAATCTGAATCCAACTTCCAGAAAACTGCAAAACAGCTGAAACACTGAGTTCCTTTAAATCCAGGCTACAAACCCACCTGTTTAAAGTGGCTTGGAACATGTATTGATATGTATTGATGGCTTTGAGGATGACGCTCGTCAAAGTTTAATGTTTACTAGTTTCTCAGTTGTGGTGTTTTTACTTTTTATTTCTGTGAAAAACAAAAAGTCAGAACTAGTCAAAACTTGATTGGTGAAATGTGAAATGCGGTATCTCTTATTAAATCCCATTGGTCTTTTATTTAGCTACATGCTAATTACTAGTAACATAGAACAATATTTTTGAGAAATGTGTTGCGATCATGGTGACAGTGAGGATAGTAAGAACATGTCTCGTACTTACGAGCACGTTGGAGTTGCTCTGCTTCTTCGGCTCTGATTTTTCCTTCTTAGTAGATTTTTTGGGTTTTTTCCGTTGAGTCTTTGCTAGAGAAAAGGAGGAAGTTTAAATCATCATATCCCCTACTCCAACATCTCTCTGCCAGGTTTTCGAACCAGACAGAGACTTAAAGAAAAGCAGCAGAAGCAAACGAAGTGGATTAGCAGAGCTAGTCAAAACTTGATTTTGTGTCCAGGACGTGTTGCTGTGAAATTTCATCTCCGTCCCACAATACCGAGTTGTTAGCATGTCGTTATAATCATTAAACTATAACACAGCGACAATCTTCAGTCAGAGGCCTCTTCAGATTTGATGCAATACTGACTGCGACTGGAGATCCCATCATCATCCAAACTATTTTAGAGTTAAAACATTTACTTATTTAAAGTATTTTTGAACTGAATATGAAGACAAAATAAAATATTATCATTAAAGAAAGCTTAAATAAATTCAAATAGAAAAATATACAAAGATTCTGAATCTGTTGGACCCTGACCAACACAAATATTTATTTTCTTTCTTTCAAACTTTGTTTGTGTTTAGTTGAAGCTATGAAAATTACCAAAGAATGGATTTGATTGTTGGTTACAACAAGCCCAAAGATCCAGTTTAACATTTATTTACTACATTTTTTGGTTAATGCTTTTAGTTTTAATGACTTTTCCATGTCTGGATAATTTAGAGATCTAAATTAATTAGAGGAATAAAATGAAAATGTATGTATATATAGAAAATATTTCTCAGAAAATAAGTTACTGGGTGTTCAAGGCGCCTGAGAAACTTTTTTTTCTACTGGAATCCAAAATAAACTCTGGTTTCTTGGAAACTAAATGTAAAGATGGAAAGTGAGCACATTACATATGTTATGTATATGTTTGGTGTTGGATTACAGCGTCTCGGGCTGCACAGTCTTCCAGTCTGCTGTAAGTGTTTAACGTCTCTCTGATTGAGAAGCTCACTTTGTTCCTGGAAGGATGTTACAAAACGGCCGGATGACGAGAACCTCGCTGGTGCCGGTCCAGTTTAATCACATAAAACAACAGAACAAAAGTCCTGCAAAAAGTCCATGAAATACTGAAAACATGCAACAGAATCTAACCAGGAACCTTTGGTCCAGATTCTAATGAAAATATATTAAAACACCTGAAATAAGACAAAACTAACTTAAATGTACATTTGTCTTAAGTTGATAATTCTTGTATATAGATGAAAAAATACTTATTGGTAGATTTTTGTTTATATTTTCAGGATTTAAAATAAACATACGATTTAGCTTTTTATTTGTGGGATGGAAAATGATGACAGTACTTGAACTCTTAGTGTTATTTTTATAGAAATGTACAGGAAATATTGCAGAAATAAACTAAAAAAACTGTTAAAATCTTGAGTTTGTTGTATCTAAATTTAAAAACTATCTGTTTTTTTACATTTTTACCCACTTACGGGTCCAGAGATGCAAGTTGTGGTGGAAAAAAGGGTAAATCTGAAGAAAATTTTCCTGGTGAAACCAGTTTCTGATTATTTTTATTGATCTTTCAGACAACAGTCGCACTGAAAATATTTGGCACAAATAAGCCGAGAGAGCCTTTTTATCCTGCAGTGTCGGAAACCTTTATCAAGACAAATTATAAAAGTAAGTGGAGGAAGAATCAGACGCCGAGAATAGAAAACCCAGTGATTTTAATTAGAACAGAGCGGCTTGGGAATGATGAATTAGGCAAAGCAATTTCCTGGAGTTGGCTCCATCTGATCTTCCCAGAATAAATAACACGGAGCCGGCTGCTTTCAGAGCGGAGGCTCGCGTAATGAAGGATGCCGCGAGTTCGGCCCGGTCCGAGTGAATGGACCCGGAGTGGCGGCGTGTGCGCTGACGAGTACCGAGATGGAGGGGGTGGGAGGAGACAAAGAAGAGGAGGAACCGCGAAGGTTTGGAGCCGCGAAGGTTTGGAGCCGCGAAGGTTTGGAGCCGCGAAGGTTTGGAGCCGCGAAGGTTTGGAGCCGCGAAGGTTTGGAGCCGCGAAGGTTTGGAGCCGCGAAGGTACCGGCTGGCAACAGGTCGGGGGTCGCCATGGCAACAGGGGAGCTGTCAGTCGAGTGTGTTAACGAAAGCCGGTCGAAGGTGCAGCGGCTGCAAAAACACCAAAGCAGTGTGTGTGTTTTTGTCTGTATCATGGAGCCGTTTCTGCATCGGCGCGCGCGCGTGTTTTTCATATGTCAAAAAGAAAATCTGAGAAATCTTCGACTGCATTGCAAATCAACCAATTACAGAGGAAGAGGCGAAAAGCCGGAGAGCCAGCCTCCTGCGGTGTCAGTGAACTGAACCTGCAGCAATCAACACACGCACAGACACACACACACACACACACCCACACACACACACGGCGCGCTGTCTGGGTCAGCCTTCAGTCCTCACCTCGGCTGGCGGGCGAACGGCGGTCTCCGCGGACTCCCAAGTGTCACAGCGTGTCGGCTTTTGTTTGTTACATCCACTCTGCTGCTTTTGGAAAATCTCCTCACTTTGTTAGCGGAGCTTTATGTTGCAGCTTTTTTTATTTTAAATCGCCAATTTATGCCTTTGTTTGATGCTCTTTGTGTTCGTCTGACACCTCCAGTGGAAATGCTGCAACGAAATAAAGTGGAGATTAAAGCTGAAGAGCTCAGCTTTCATCAATCCGTCAATCCATCAAGTTTATTTGTTCAACACATTTCAGCATCATAAAACCACAAAAATAAGAAGTCGTAAAAACAGGCGCCAATTAAGAAACCAGTAACAAACGTTACGTTTTGTGCCGTCATCAATACATATCAAATATGTTACTCAAAGCTCCATTTATTATTGGTTCAAAAGCAAAACAGGTGGGTTTTTAGTCCTGATATCCAGTTTTCTGGGTGTTTGTTCCAGATTTGTGGTGCTTAGAAGCTGGATGCTGCTTCTCTGTCTCTGTTTCTGGTGGGAAAACTGGTAGAAATAAGCAGCATTTACTGCTGATAGCCCAAGTTTAGTTTAACAGTTTATTTAAAACTGGGAAAATATGCAAAGATCATTAATAAAAAATGCTTTCA